TATCCACACTATTCGAGCTTTTTTATCTGATAATGAACGTACAATGAAAATTTGTATAATAAATTTGGAGTATTACCAAGTACGTGTGGTAATTCTATGCACGGTAAAAATTTCATCGAAATCGATTAACGTTATTGTCAACTACAGAGGTTTAAAAATCGAGCAACTGATAAGATTGAAAATCACTAATCTGGGTTGATTTCTGCAGATCTCTATTCTTATATACGAAGCTATACAAATCGATATATGGAAGCACAAAGTATTCCCACTTTTGGTAGAAACGAATGGGGAACCGAAAAATACTTTTATGCTTTTCACAATTTTTTATCATGAAGATACTGTTGTGTCATTGTTAGAAAACGTACTATTTCACTGTGAAAGTGCAGAGACTATGGACGACACTGTTCTCGACCTCGTTGATTATTCTTTTAAATCTGTATCTCTGTTACTTAACGCAGGCGAAAGAGAAATTTACGAAAATATTAAAGATCCAAAGTAAGCTTTGAAAAGTTAACGTTTACGTTAGATTACATTTTATATACTCAATAATATTATCATAATACTTCAATTAGTTCATGCCTCCAAGAAATATTTGAAAAAAAGAAGGAACTCGAATTTGATATTGGCATGCGTTGTATTTCAATTCTTCGTTATTTAGCAGAATTTGCAGACAATCTACCACTCTGTGTATTATCACGTTTGTTAGCAACGCATGACATACCGTATTTACTTGTTGAACTTATTGAAGCACATCCATGGAAAAAGGAAAATACAGACGGTAAATGTTCTTATTAAAACGTAGGGAAATAAAAAATATAATATACCACTACCGTTCATTTTGAAGGAGAAAACATGATATACAACAGTGGTTGGAGAAAAGTAAAGTCAAACGAAGAAGAAAAAGTATCAAAAATAGAAGGACAAGTTTGGTTTGCTTTACGAGAATTATTGCTTAATCCTAAGAGTGCCCCATACTATGAAATTACTGAACATAGATTTTCTCAACTGTTAAAGGTATTTTAATATTATATATTAAATCATATAATAAACAGTTAGAATTATAATCTACATTTATTATGTACATTAGTTGCAGAAGTACTTGAACGATTGTGTTTTGGATCAGATATCACCATTAATAGATCTGAAGAGATGGTTAAGTTATTTAAGTGTATCATCATCCTATAATAAGTCACCTGCAGCAGTAAATGTAGAACTTATACCACAGGTTTAACATTATAAATTAGGATAAATATTCACTGATGACTTTTAAAACGTTAATTAATCCTTTTTTATTTATGTTTGTCAGATAAGATTATCGATAATGGAGAAATATCACAAAAAGTGGAAGAAATTAACGAAACATCAGTCAAAATTTATATACACGACAGATACAGAATATATAAAAAATGCAGCACAGATTTTAAGTGATGCATATGATCTAGATAAATTAGACTGCATTGAAATAAAAGAATGTTTTTTATGTCATGGACAGGCAAAAAAGCGTTGTTCTAAATGTAAAGACGCTTGGTACTGCGGAAGGTATACATATAATTTTTTTCAATTTATTCAGGTGCTGTTAATAGTATTATATTTTTATTAAGAACTGGCAATGTATGCCTACAGGGAGTGTCAAGTA